AAGGTAAGGATATTCTCCTCCTGATTTTGTGATCGTTGTACCAAGTTCAGCAAAACAGAGTGCACCTGAGCAGCAAGAAATACAGTTGTTATTTTTTTGTTTGGTTTATACCTATCTTAAATTATTGGCTATTGATAGATAGTGCAATTGCAGAAGTAGATAGATATATGTAATGTATCCTTAATTCTTTCGTGTTCCTGTACATTTGACTGTGCACATCAGATTTTTAATTGTGAATTGTGAGGATGTGTGTGAGTTTGGGTAAAACACTGAAACTTCAGTGACAATCTAGAATTTACTGTTAGTTGCATTTAAGACTCATAGATCAAGTACAAAGGTTCTGATTTCATTAAGAGCCAACACTTAACATCAGATGACAACTGCAATAAGTTGATGTACTTTTTAGAAACCTATGGGGAAAAAGATTTTGTTGCACAACTTTGAAGAAAAATGTCTACTGAGCTCATGGTTGTTTTTATGCTCTGTATCTGACATAACGAACACTTAATTCCTTCTTTTCCTAATTGAAATATTCTGAGGTGCTTAGTACTAAATTTTGTATGAGAAACTTAGACTTACACAACTATAGAAAAACAGTAGGAATACCAGGCTGCTGCTGATAGATCTTGCATAGTATTTTGCCTGTGACTTAAGTAGGTGTTCTCTTCATTACAATTAGTGAATAAAGTGAGCAAAACTTAATTCCTGCTTCAAGAAATAAGCTAAAAACGTGCTTTATGATTTTAATAGCTTAATCTGTTGTTTATAAACAACACATTTATTGCAGTCATCAGAGTATTACTGATGTTAATCTAGGTGCTATTACCTAATTTCTGAAATTAGTTATATGCAGACACAGAGTAGTAAATTAAATGATTTAAGCAAAAATTGAAACTTGCTGCGTGGACTCCGTTTACCTAGTGTTGCGAGAACTCCACAGACTGCCCAGATGGTTAAACAAGGACCCACTGCTCCAACATTGGCAAGTACTGATTTTGGAGAAACAAAGATACCTGAACCAATAATTGTGCCAACGATCATACAGATTCCACTAATCAGGCCCACCTTGAAATAGAAGGAGACATTTTGGTGAAGGAATTTCTAATAACTGCTTTTCAGTTGAATATAACAATAGTAATTGACATCAGTGATTTATTGTTGTCACTTTCAACATGAGGTTTCAGCTAACTAGTAAACTGGAATTTCTTTTCTTCCAAATAACTACATGGCCTGTGGTATGCCAGCTTGCATATTTGTTTTCATAAACCATACTTTGAATTATGTGGGTCTCAAAATCAACTTTGTACAAATGAGCAATTATCTGTATTTGACTTAACTGTCACATTTTGCTGAAGACTTGAATTCTGAATTTTTATAAGACGTGCCTTCTTGGAGGGATTCTGTCCTCCTTTAAGCAGTTGCTCTACTCTCCTTTCTTCAGGTATTTTCTGCACAGAAATTACCTTAATATTGATACATGATGAAAAGATTACGTTCTCCAGACTTTGTAGTGATCTGCATATTAGATGAATCTAATAAAACTTCAGCCTTAAAAGTCAAGGGCACAGGCATCTTAAATTCTCCTTAAGTTATAGCTAGTCTAGTAGCATCAGTATTTTGCCAGTCCAGAATCTTAGCACCTAAATGAAGCTATGCAGAGTATAATTTTCCAGGTTGCTTAAACTGAAAGATAAATTACACTTCCCTTTGTGAGTCTTGTCAGAGGTAAAAGTGGCATATCTCCTCTGTAAAAGCATCTATCACTTTCTGGAGAAGAAAAATTACTATTTGTCTTCCTGTGCAATTAGCTTTTTAATGGACATATACACTAACAAATTTGCAGAAGCAGTGAGCTGAACCAACCCTATTTAGCCTCTGAGGAGAATTAGTGAAGTTCATAACATTATGCTGAGCTGAGCAATTCTGAAGTAGAAAATACTAAAAAAAATAATTTAAAGACTTGAAAATTATATGTTCTTTCTTTTAATGGTGCTTATATCAGAGCTGTGCACATAGTTAATGAGTTCATAAAATGTAATTCAACCACATCATGAAGAAACCAGTACGCTGTTGCAAGTAAGAGCAGTTTCAACTTTAGTGTGATAATACATAGTCACAAATACATTCTTACTGCCTCCCCGTGCCAGCCCTTCACATGCACATATTAAGGAGTGGGTGTTGGCATTTACCTCTTTTTTTAGGTTCATAGCTTGGGGTTCCTGCCTCTGAATGGATTGTCCATCCTCTCTTCTGTTGTCCTGTTCTTTCCTTTTCCTCAAGCTTCCTTCACCCATTATATTTACTTGTTGAAATATCTGAATAAATTAAAGGACAAAAAAACAGTGTAGTCTCTGTCTTTTGAATGCCTCTAGGAGACCAGGTTGATTTAATCTTTCACCTAGAAGCCAGCTAAAGAGACAATTCCTGATCTTTGTTAAATTAGGCCTTTTCCTGATTTCTTGGAGATGCAAGTATGTTAGACCAGGTGTCATTTCCTGTGACTAAATAGCAGCTCTTTGCTTCAGAAAGTGTTGCTGTTCTTCTCTGTGTTGACTTAGGGTGAATGTCTTCTACTGAACGTTATATTCTGTTCAGAATTAGACTGTAAACAATTTGACTTCAAAAAAATTAATTTTAGACTTGTGAATGTAGTATTTTCTTGGGAATTTTGTTTGTTTCACACAGTATTAGAATAAAATCCAACCTGAAGTAGTGATGGAAATGGAGGTTAAAATAGATCAGTCCCGATTCCCGCTGTTGATTCAGTCAATCTTCTCTGTCCTTAGACTCTCCACCTGTAGTTGTTAGAACCTGAACCTTGAAGATTGTTTGGCAGCTGAAGAGACAATAATTCAGGTATGCTTCGTGTTCAGACAATTCAGCTGATATCCACTAATTGGCTTCTTTTGTAGCCTTTTAAATTGATGGAATATCCATCTCGGTACTGTTGGTCTTCAGAAATGTTTCTGTTATAGAGAAACCTGGTTTATGACTTAAAGATTTTAAAAATCAACGTAATCCAACTTAAGATTCAAGCTATAATGGAAAACTGCCCATGTAAGGAATGTAGGGCTTGGGTCACTGAACTCTTACAGCTTTGTGCCCAATGTTTCTCTTTAAAGTTTTTTGTCTAGAATATGTTGTCATCTTCTAGTAATTCATACTGTCACTTACCTTATTTGTATTTCCTTGGTGTAATTCAGGGATCCAGGGAGCTCTGTATAGTGTTTCTCTTTTCTCCCGTTAGATTTACCAGCCAGTTAGAGAGCAACACAGAAACCAGAATATGCAGAAGCAACAGCAGCTTAAGTACAGAGGTTATAAAAGGTAATCATTAAACCTGTTCTCAGACAAGAAGCTTTGAGATGGGAACCACAGGTAAACCAATAGTCCAATTAGTTTATCTTTAAAACAAAAAGGTTTTTTTTTTCCATTTGTTAAGAATGTTTGTCCAGTACCTAAGCGTTTTATTATATAGTGAGAGGAAATCATAATTTGGGTGGATTTTAATTTCATGTCATGATATTTCTGCTTTAGAAACTGTGGAAGATAAACTTGAAGTAATTGTTGTAGTGTGGATGTGTTTAAAAGCATCTGTCCAGATGTTAAGTGCATCCCATACAAACAGCTTGTTTCATCTTGAGGAGATGGAAAAGTGTGAGCAGAAATCTCTCATTTGTTTTTCATTAACCTGAAGACAGCTGAGCGGGCACATTGTGTTCCTTTCATCTGCATTTCAAGTTTTCATTTTTGTAGATGTTTAAAAATCTTGCTTTAGGGGTAGAAAACCTGTCTCAATTTCTGTACAACTATATATCCAGGAAAACGTTGCTAATACTGTCTGCTGAAACAAGGTAGCTTCATTCGTGGTAGTCATCCCAAAACTACTAGCAAAAAAACCTCTAAGTGTGTTTCACATCATTTTTAGTAATGCAAGCTGTAAGTTCTAATTAAGTCAAATGTGAACCAACTTTTTTATTTCTACTGTTAAACTAACAGACTTCAATCTTCAATGTGATTAATACATTTTAAGACTTACTGTTACGGCAGTGCCTCAAGAAAAACAGTAGTACAGGATTGGAAATAAGTCCACGTTGTTGGATCTAAATATCAAAACTAGTCAAGAGTTGAGGTTGTCTGTATGTTGCTAACACAAAAACTAATCATGACGTGGAATGAGAGAAGCAAACTTTACCATTCTGTCCCAGCTGTATGCTGGCATGTTGACAGCCTTTTTTTTTTTTTTTCCCCCTTTTATTATTCTGTTTAAGCATGCAGTCTTGATCAACAGAAATTCCTGGCTTTTGTAATGTTAATATAAATCTGTGATTAAAAAAATAGACTGAAGAAAATGTGAGACAACCCTATATTGGTTTATGTCTATCATGTTTTGTTATGGTAGAGCCGGTCTGTGCAGCATCCATTTTTCTGAGACTGAATTGCAGAATCATAGGAGTTGGAAGGAGGCTCTGGAGATCATTGAGTCTAACCTATCTGCTAAAGCAAGCTACCCGGAGGAGGTTGCACAGGAAAGAGTCCTAGTGCATTTTTTTAGTATCTCCACATACTCCACAACCTCTCTGGGCAGCCTGTTCCAGTACTGTGTAACCCTCAAAGTGAAGAGATTATCCCTCATGTATATATGTGTTCGAGTTTGTTCCCATTGCCCCTTGCCTTGCTGCTAAACACAGCTGAAAAGAACCTGGGCCCCATCCACTCAACGTCTGTCTTTTAAATATTCATAAGCATTAAGAAGATCACCTCTTCATCTTCTCCATACTGAACAGACTCTGGTCTTTCAATCTTCCCTCACAAGGGAGTTGCTTCAGGCCCCAGTCATCTTTGTGGTCTTTTGCTGGGCTCTCTATAGAAGTTCTGTGCACTTCTTAAACAGAGGAGCCCAGAACTGGACACTGTACTCTGGATGTGGCCTCAGCAGGGCAGAGCAGAAGGGGAGGATCACCTCTGTCATCTTGCTGGCTCTTTTGAATGTATCCCAGAATACCACTAGCTTTCTTGGCCGCAAGGGTACACTGCTGGCTCCTGGCCAGTCTGTTGCGCACCAGGGCATCCAGGCCCTTCTCTGGAGAGCTCCTCTCCAACAGGTCAGCTCCTAAACTGTACTGTTGCACATAGTTACTCCTCCCTAGGTGTAGGATGCTGCACTTACCATTGATGAACCTCATCTGATTCCTTTGCCCAGCTGTCCAGCCTGTCCAGGTCACACTGAATGGCAACAGTGCCTTCTGGTATGTCAGCCACTCCTCAAAGTTTCACATTATCAGCAAACTAGCTGAGGGTGTACTCTGTCCCTTCATCTAGTTCACTGATGAGGATGGAATTGCAAAATAATATCAGTACTGAAATCAAAGCTGTAGCTGCATTTTTGCAGCTATCAATTTTATTTGCCCACTTTATTTTGATAGGAATTAAAAGCAGGGTTAAACTTCAGGAAAAGCTTTTTCATTGTAACCAACTTGTTCAAAAGTTACCATCTGAACAGCAGAGTTGTGTGCTGTTTTTGTTTGTTTTACCAACAGAGAATAAAGAATATTAAACTCAGAATCCTACTTTAAGCGGATGAAAAGTCAGGCATCAACAATTTACTCCTTTTTCTGCATCTTTTATAAAGACTTAAAAATTTATCTTCGTTATTGTGATACACTGATGTTTCTACATCTATCAATTGTATATACCTAGCTTTGTATTGAATATTATATAACGTATTCCTGTGTTCTGCAGTGTATTTAGAGTGAGTAATCTTTGAATTTTACATGCAGGTAGATGTTCTGCATCCCTCGATGTTCTCAGATTTTTTTCTGCATCACACTTAGCCTTTATTTTGTTTGTTCAGATACAGTACAGGCAACATTAAATATCTGTTAATTTTTCACTGAGCAATCAATTTATTGAATCAGTATTGAGTAAGCATTTGGAAAGTTCTGATTTATTGAATGGACGTGTTAAATTTCTGCGAGTGGCTTGATTTGAGTTAGCCTGTTTCCTTATAAAAATGGAGTATATTCATTTGTTATCTATTTTTATTTTAAGGGTTAATCTTTGGATGGTATAGAGCTGTTAAAGGACTTTTATCAGCAATCCTTTTCTGAACCATTTAAAATTAAAACAGCAACAAAACACAACACTGAGTTCAAGAATTATACTGATTTTTTTCTTTTTTCCTTCATGGACAGGAGGAATTACATTCTACAGCAATGGGGGAAGACTCTTTCCCTCTTAACTGTATATCTATGAAGAGATCAAGGAGTTCAAATTTCAAGGGACTTCAGAATGAAGCACTCTGTGGGCTAGTCCTGTCAGTGTAGTTTGAACCTTTTCAAATACTGTTTGCTAATCATATCATAAGAAGTAATTTTCAACTTGAATTCAGGAAACAGCAAGAAAACAGCATATACATTTAGCTTTTATTACCATTATCACTAATAATAAAGGTTAATGTTTGTTGGGGCTGGTATTTATTGCTTGCAGTACTGCACGTATTCTTTTTTGGACTGGCAGTTCTTAAATGAATGGTAATGACTGTTCTAACTTGGAGGTTTTACTTATAGCTTAGTGGTATCTCAGAATAGATACTTTCCATTCTTACCTTGCTGCCTAACAGGTTACTTCGTTTTTATCAGAGGAAAAGTGTGTTTACTTGCACTTGCTCTTCTTTGACTCCTGCTGTTAACAGATGTGCTCTAAGAAGTTATCTCACTTCTGTTGATCTTAAGTGCATTTCGTTTTTCTCACGAGAAATTCCAGGTATGTTTTAGTGGAATGTAAGAAAACAATTTTTCTGAATAGTTGTGTCAAGCAGGTCATGCTCATGGTTTCAAGTTCCTTGTGTCTTGTGGCAGTCAGTTGTACTGGCTGGCCATACGTTGCTGTGCTTTGACTTGTAGCTGGAACAGTTTTGATGTCACAGCAGCGTTATGGCTAGTGCTGAGCAGTGCAGCATGGAGGTTGGGGTGGGCAGGAGATGCAGTGAGGACACAGCCAGGACAGCCAACCAAAACAGAGGGATATCCAACACTTACTTGGTATTCTACTCAGCAATTACAACTGGGAACTGGGGAGTCCTCTTGTTAGACAGTTATTTGTCTTCCTGAGAAACTGCTGTGCTTTTTGAGGCCTTGCTTCCTAAGAAGTAACTAAACATTGGCAAAACATTGCTTGCTGATGGGAAGCAGAGAATAACTTGCTTCTCTTTGTTTCCATATGCAGCCTTTGCATTTTTTTTCCCCTTTCATAAAACTCCACCTTATTTCAACCCATCAGTGTGGTTTTTTTTAATATTTTCTTGCCCTGCTTTGTTGAGCTGGGGGAGTAAGAGTGGATTGTTGGACCTTAGCTGCCCACTGACTGTCATACTATTACGTAAATATGAAAGATTAGATGAGTGTGGTGTTTTTATTGCCCATAGTATATATATTTTTTGAAATAAATATTTTTCCCCCTTTGTTTTTGCTCACAGTATATTTGTTTGGGCACCTGTGACAAAGTAGGAAAAGGAATGAGGCTGTTGGAAAAGTCTTCAGGTTTGCTAATGGTAGTAGATCTACTTCAGTAGTTATTCAGACAAATCACTATAATGAGGTGGATAAAAATGTCTTCCAGATCTGTTGTATTTTTTTCTTTTTTTTTTCCCCCTCATACAGGGAGGTAAACAACATCTTTCAGAGCAGGTATAACTGAAGATAAGCCACAAGAAGTCGTCTGATTCAGTAATTATTTGAATAATTTAGAAGGGTTTTAATCATCTCAGTACGTAGATGTTTTTTATTGACATGAGGATTCTTCATTAGTTTCAAAATCAGAATTTAAAGTTCTCTCAAATAATAATCACTTCCTGTCTGTGCCAAAATTTAGGCTGTATCTTAACCACTACAAATAAGTCAGAAATGCTGTGTGTTCTGTTTAGGAACCGAGGTGGGGTTGTTTTTTTTGTTTTTTTTTTTTGTTTGTTTGTTTTTTGTTTTTTGTTTTTTTTATGTTTACAGTACTTAATCTGAGTTTAAATTTATCAAAACCAAATATTTGGTATGTAAAACAACTTTAAAATACTACAGTATATCTTTAGAGAGTAGAGAGGTGTTGAAATTGAGTACAAGAAAAAAAAAACTCTACAGGTGTTGGTGAGAAACTACATTTTTAAAGACAGAAGTCCTCAAAATGCATCTTTTCGATATTCTAGCTGATTGTCAGTGTAAATTTATTATTTATTTCCATTATATTTGCAGAGCAGGATGAGTGCACAGAGCTATTATAAATGTCAAAACTGATTTTTTTC